GGATCCGGATATAAATGAATTAATAATTTAAAAAATATATATTTATCAATATAATTTGATTAGGGTGATGTATTTGAGTAAAGTCAATTTGATTTCTTTTCTTATTTGATTTTTTCTTTGCATTAGTTTACAAATATATTTTTTTCTCATTTTTATTAGAAATTATAAATTTTGCTAAATTTGTGTGGGTAGACCCGACCCGGATCCGGAACATATAATAAAAGACCCGTCGGGTAAACGGGTCGGATTCGGGTCCGGAATAATGAATTCCGGCCCGGACCTGCACCGTTGACAGCCCTAACTAAAGTTTAGTGCATGAGATAATAATAATAATACTTCTAAATCATCACATAAAAATGAATATTTTAAATTGCTGAGTTTTTCAAAAATTAATTTTTTAAATATTATTAAAATTTTTAAAAAATACTCTAAAAGGTAATCTAGAAAGTAGTCTAAATTTTTTTTCATGTTTAAAAGATATTTTAAAATATATTCTAAAAACTCTTCTACTTTAAATATTTCAAAATATTTTCAAAAATATATTACAAAAACTCTGTTACAGTAAAATTTTTTAAAAATATCTCCAAAAATAGTTAATCGAAACGGATAGATATTATAAAATGTTGGGATATATGTTTTTAGAGTGAATTGCTCCCAAGGGTATATGCCAATCTTGATAAAGAGGATTGTCCCATTTATATTTATGTAAGAAATTTCAAATTTGTGACCCTCACGTCGCATGGTCCGCCAGTTTTATTGATCTGGGGTTGAGTCAACTACTCTACTGTCGTCGTTCTAGTGTTCTGGTAGTCTAGTATGCATTTGGACAAGTCACAGGTTTCGTGGTATCAGCTTTAGGGGCAGTAGTAATCAAACACATACTTGAAGACAAGTACATACTTACGAGTAGTATAGTGCATGCATTATTGTCTACCAAAACAGACCTTCAATTGATTACAAGTCCATGTCAAAACACATGAATTTCTTTTTCTTGTCTTGCGTCGACTTGGAGCTAGCTGGATGTCAAAAGTCCGATAAAATCTAGCTTAAAAACCCCTTTTTTTTTTCCGGGAAGAAATGGGTGGGACTCGAAAAACGAGAAGGGTAGGGGAGGATTTGAGTCCAGAATCATTTAATTCCTAAAGTCTCAATTTAGTCAAACTTAAAAAATTTGTTTTCTAGAGATGGCAATGGGTAAGATAAAATTTGATATTTGTGGGTATCCAATCCAATGGTTAATTCGGGTTACATGCTCGATGAGTTATCCATTAGAATTTTGTCTCATGAGTAGCTACTGACGAGTAACTCAAGCATAACACAAATGAAGTTAATTATAATTAAAAATAGAAGAATGTTGATTTAACCCTTCACTAAATATTGGATTTTTCCCATGCAAGTTCTATGGATTTACAACAGTTTAAAATTCGATATAGGGCGCTAATTTAACTCGACTTATGTATTGATTTTAATTTGATAAAATGTTAATTTTCCTTTTTCAAACTATTAATATTAATGAATAGAGAGTACCCAATGGATAATTCAACCGCACAAGTGGAAGGGTTTAGTAATGGGAATTAAAACCCATAGGTTTACTCGACAAGATTTGGTAAATATACTTAAATATGCGAGTTAAGATATGGTAAAAAAAATTTTCGATAATACTTGACCCGTTGCCATCCATACCTACAACTAGGGGTGTTTCGCGAATCGAGCCGCTCGCGAATACGAACTCGACTCGAGCTCGTCAATATCGAGTTTGATTCGAGCTCGAGCTAATTAAGTCGATCTCGAGCTCGAGTTCGAGCTCAAAAACATTAAGCTCGTTGGCTCGCGAGCTCAATTATATATATTTTTTATTTTAATAATAAAATTACATATATATCCCTAATATTTTATTATTTATTAAAAAATTATTATTTTATTCATTTTTTAAAAATAAATAATTATTTTTATTTTTTAAAATAAAATAATAATAATTATTTTTTTATTTTTAAACTCGAGCTCGACTCGAATTTGACTCGAGCTCGAGCTCGATATTTTGAGCTCGTCGAGCTCGAGCTCGAGCTTCACAAAATTAACTCGAGCTCGACTCGATTAGCCAAAGCTCGGCTTGAGTTCGGCTCGTTTGCACCCCTACCTACAACCTTGACATAGAACCTCTCAAAAAAAAAATTTTTTTAGAGGTTCTATGTCAAGGTTGTACACAATTTTGGGCTTTTAACCCTCCAAACTCGAAGGCACTCCAAACCAAAAAAAAAAAAAAAAGATAAAAAGTAGAGTTCTATCAAAGGTACGAAATGTAAATGTAATTAGGTATTTACTTCTCAGTTTTGAAGCTTCAAACGGAAAGTGAAACGCGTTATGGGACAGCTGGGCTATTCCCTGAATTACAAGGTGAGGTCCAAGTGTTACAGCTGGGCTATTCCCTGAATTACAAGTTGAGGTCCGCTGATTAAGGTCTTCGAAGTTGGGTTTGTCGGTCCCCAGTTTAGACAGAACGGCCCACTACAGCAGAGAGTGAATTCTTGGGTCTTGGTGACTTGCTAGAGCTCGACTTACATCCAGTCCGTTTGCAATGAACGTGACTTCGAGTAAGATTGAAGGATGAACTAAACTACTCGATATTCGAATTGAACGTCTTTTTGAGTTTGATTTACTAATTAATCAAATCAAATTTAAATAGTATTTTATGGTCGATAATATTCAAATTCGATAAAAATCGTTCAATCTCGATTCGATAAATAAACAAGTCAAATTTGAACCAAATTTTAAACTCGTTAAAATAATCAAACATGTTTGAACATTAGAATGTTCGATTTGACTCATTTACACTCCTATTTTTTAGTTTGCATAATTGGACCAAATGAAACTTTCATTCAAAACAGACTGTCCAACTTTCCAGCTATACAATGAAAACGAAAACCTTTCACTAAATCAAGTTTAGAGCGCATGAATTTTCTCGTTTACGAAATTATTTGACAAACAAATGTGAACAATTTATGTAATGAGCATGAAAGTGAACATAAGAATGGGTGGATTGACCTCATTAATCATTAGTTAAGAAAGATCTTAAGGATTATAGTGCCACTAACATTGCATATTCCGTAGTAACATCTCTTTCAAACTTGTTTAGTGACCTAATCTGACTAATGACTAAGTAACTGAAAGGGATTTTTACCGGTAATATTCCACAGGAGACCGACTAACCTCCCATTGTCATTTTGACTCAGATATCTTTAATTCTCTAATGAAACGACTTAAACGTGGAACGGGTCTCATTAAGTGCTTTTGGTCCACTTTTTCGGCAAAAACTGGCAATTTTCAATAGCGTAGGTTTTCGTATTCCCGTGTTGTACCCACTTGTTCATGCATGGTTGTTAGCATTGATGTGGTTTAGCGCCTTCACGTCTTAGGAAATCTTTCATTAGGTGATTGACTTGGTACTCTTCGCTTTGAATTTCCCTATACATTTCTTCATGAGTTCATTTAACTTGATTTATAAGCGTGTAATCAATTAGATTGCGCATCTTGTGGAAATTTTGCCTCCTAAAATTAGGATGTCTTTTAAAGGCTGTTGGCTCAATGCATCTTTATATTGAAGAATGGGTTAACCATATTGAAGTTAGCACAAGGAAATTTTTTTTTCGGAACAAAGATTTTGAATTTAAAATTTCCTACTTACAATTCTTTTAATCTTATCACATAAAGCAACTCTTTTTCAAGGATTTGTTGGGGTCTGGATTAGCACGATCTTGATATGCCGGAAGTTTCGCGATTCTCTTTTGTTTGCTCTGTCTTTGATGAAAGTTTGATTTTCGAAATTAACATTAAACTTAATTGGAGTTTAATTGCAATAATCCCTTCTAAATTTGTAATCAAAGGTCGATCTTATTCAATTTTTTGGTTCATTATGAAGAGGATATACGAATATCAACTAAAGTACAAGATAAAAAAAGAGAGAAGATGTGCATAATCTTCTTTTTAAAGTAAAGTAAAGGAGATCTTCGTAATTTTGGAATTGTAACTGCACACGCGTGGATAATTAAAGTGCATTAAGTGCGAAATTTGTCATTTAACTTTTGTACCACCTTGCAGTCGAATTGAATTGATTGACACTTGGGAAGAAAAACGAAAGGGGGAAAGAAAAAGGGAATTACCCTGGAAACAAAAGCAAAAGGGCTAAATTAGAACTTTACGCACGAGAGACTTGTAAAGAGGTTCACGCGGACGAAGGTGTGGACGTTGGTGATCCACCCCCCTTTGCCAGCTGGCCTGTCGGACGTCTTTGCCTTTCTTCGCGCCCTCTTTGCACGTGACTCACAAAACCTCCACCCCTTCCCACCTCTTTGATCTAATATTTACCCCTTTTTTCTATTCACTCGCACTCTTTTTCCTTCTATTTCTCTCATTCCTCTGTCTCTCATCAATCAAATCAAATCACCAAAATGAAGAAAAATAAAATTACCACATTGTAGATTTTTTCAAAATGTTTTAATTAATTTAAAATAATAATAGGTATTTGAGAAGTTCTAATTGAGATGGTTTCAATACTTTTCAAATGAACAATTTGAAGGCCACAATTCTCGCATTTATATTATATTATATATTTTTTTATGCATTGGGAACTTAAAGAAAATAGTGATAGAGCGCATATAAAAAATTTGCTTTTTTAAAATAAAAAAAATGCAAAACCAAGGGAAATAATGAGCCTTTATTTGTGCCTTTGAACAAATAATAATAATAATAATGAAAGAAAAGTAAACCAAAAAAAGCTTCTCTCGTAGGAGTTATCTCCTCGTCGTACCAACTGCATCAACGCTAGTACTTTGTCCTCCCTCAATAGCGATTCCGCTTTTAAAAAGTGTACATCATGCTCCTGATGTTGTACATCATGAAAACCAAGAAAAGGAAGCAAGTAAAAACAAAAAAGCCAATCCCTTTCGCCATCGTCCGGATCATTAATTACAGTCCCAAATTTATATAATCAAATCCAACCCCCGCCTCGCCCTCGTCCTCTTCTCTCTCAATATATTGTCTTGCCTTGTTTGCATCTCATACTTTCTCTCTCTAAGCGTTTCTCTCTCTACAATTCTACATATTCATCATCCGTTTCTTCACTCCATTTCAAAAACTTCTACTGTTCTTTTGCTAGCCGTATTTTTCTTTTTAAAATTTTTTGGTTTTTAGTTTATTTTTTTTTCGTTTGTTTTGGACATGAGGCGTTAGAATTCAAATGCGATTACTATTTCTTTCAAGCGGCGCCAGTGGAGTAGACTTCAGATTCAAGTTTTGAGATCTGCTGGTGGTAATTTCCTCGATCACACTCAGAAACACGCTTTCACGCAGTAGTTTTGTGATAATTGTTGAATTTGTTGTTAATTTAATGCGGCGGAAATGAATTTTGGATTGCGGAAGTCTGATTAAGTGGTGGAAATGTTGGTTAGAGTGAACGGATTTCGTTTTTGAAGCTAATATGAACTGGATTGCGTAATTTTTTGATGGACTGAACTGAACTGATTGAATTGATATAAGCAAATATAGGATTGAAGAAGAAACGGAAAAAAAAAAAAGAGTATAAAAGTGATCGAGTTTCTGTTTGTTGAGGAGTGTGTTTGGTGGAGATCTAGGATCCAATGGATGCTGTGGAAATTTGTATTGCAGATTTTGCTTTTCAGTTTTCTGGTTTTTCTTGATTATTGCAATAACATTGCAGGATATATTGCTAACTTTGTGATGGATTCTCGGAATTCAGTTGATGTTGTTATGGACATTGTGGTTGCATTTTCTTTTTTTGTAATTATTGTGGGTTAAATATAGAGTTTGCTAAGGGATGCATCATTGAGTTTCTGTTGGGAGTGATAATTGTTTTTGTTTTGCTGGTATCGTTGTTTTCTTTAGAATCTTTAGATTGCTAAAGAGCTTGAGCATTTCGGGAAAAATCATGTTGCAGAGTAGACTAGTTGAATCTCTTATTAACTTGTTTGCAGACGCTAAGAAGCTACTGTAGGTCTGGAAGTTGGTCGTGGGACCTTGAAGCATAATAAATTCATATTTGGGAGAGAAGTTTGAGTAGTTAAATTTTTCTGAGGGGTACATTGGTAGTGTTTGCTATTGTTGCATTAACAAAGCAGAGTTTGAAGCCAGTTTATCTGATGGAAGGATTACTTGGTTTGGCATTATCTGTGATCCTTGATCAAGTAGCCAGGACAATTAATATGTTTATGCAATTTTAGATTGTATACTGCTGTCAATCATGGTAATGCTGAGGAAATGCAGCTTCAATGTTGGAGTTTCATAGTTTGACTAAGCACTAAAATCACTAACATTAATGATTAAGTTTAAAGAAGAAGGTCGAAAGCACGTGGCATCACTCTTTGGTTTTATTGAACTATTAGGAAATGACAAGCATTATCTCTTTGGTTTTATTGAACTATTAGGAAATGACAAGCATTATATTGCGACCCTACCTTTTCCATGGTAAAACGAACTCGGGAAATATTAATAATTTGTATTTAAAACTTCCCACAGAGGGATGTAGAGAACTGTATCTATGATGGTGAGACATTTGCATTTGACTCCTTTATATCTTGCTATAAGATACTGATTACCTATATCTGATGTCAAAAGGCTCAAGCTTTTTAATTGTAGCATGTTTCCTAATTTGTTTTCTCTTGTTGTTTACTTGTCTTCAAGAAGTTGGTAACCCTATCTTGCATGATCTTGTCTTTTTCCTTTCTTTTTGGAGTTGGGGTTTTTTGGTTCTTGAATGTGACGTGACGTTCAATGCATCTAATATTGAACCATTAGTTTCATTTTACAGGTCGCATGGCCTCCAGCTTTTTTGAGTTTAGAGGAAGTGAAAGTTGTAGACAATGTTGTCTCGTCTCTAAATAATTATGGCATCAATAAGCTTGTCAACGGGCTAAGAGTTGGCTATGAGATGGTGTTATATTTTGCTCATTCATCAACATGGAAGAGAGACAAGATGAAGCAGGGCCTTCACAGCAGAGGCCTCCTGGTGCTACATGGTGGTCGCCAGATCTTGTTGAAAAAATTGGATCTGTGTCTTTAGACTCTAAAGAAAGAGAGATTCTAAGGAATAAAAAATCAATTAATAAAGATGAATATGATTGCTCACCACATCAGATGGCGTCACAGATCCTTTGGAGCACTGGAATGCTTTCAGAAGCGATTCCAAATGGTTTCTATTCAGTTGTTCCTGTGAGCACCAAACTTGTTTTGTCGGTATTGTAATTATGGCAAGTTGTGTCTGGTAAATCACATCTAAAATGCATGGTGCTTGGGCCCTTTTTTCTTTGGCTGATTAACGAACTTAATGCTATAGAGATTATCATCACTTTATGAATTTTTTCGAACACAAAAATGGTGCTGTCACTTTGAATCCACTGGTAACAAGAAAAACGAAAGTCCGTGAACGTGCTTCTAAAAAATAATTGTTGTTTGCATTGGCTTGAGTATTTTCTTGGAGTAGATCTTAGCTGTTTTATCTTCATTATTAGACACAGAAAGTTTCTGTCGGCAAACATGTGCCTTCAGAGATGCCATTCAGTTCATGTATTTTAATTCATGAAGTTTGATTCTTATCGATATTGCAAATTACACGTCACTGCAATGTTAAAAATTGGTTATGTAAAAAATTTATGTTGAATAGAAAAAGCTAGCTTGTATATCAAGGGTATAATGAGTTTCATACATTTCTAGGTACTATGTGCTCATGTGGTGAAAATATTTTACTTGTCAAATAACATAAGACCTCTTATTGGAACTGCATTTTTATTCAAGGCATCCCCCGCTGAAAAGGAGTGCAAAAAATTGGAAAAATAAATTTCTTATTTTCAAATGGTACTCTCTGAGAATTTCCATCTTTTGTTTCCTGAGCATTTTTCTTGCTTGATGGCGTTAGGACTTTATGGATTGTCACCCATAAATGGTGATTTCTTTTGATCTTGTTCCATTTGAGCAGTTGTTCATGCTGCCACCTGTTTTTTGCAGGAGAAAAGGCTTAAGGAGCTTTTTGAAGATATTCCTACTCTTGATGAGCTTCAGGCTTTGGAGCTTGAGGGTTTAAGAGCTGATATTATACTTGTAGATGTGGAGAAAGATAAAAAAATTTCCATGCTAAAGCAACTAATTGCTACCCTGGTTAAAGGTCTGAATTCAAATCCTGCGGCGACAATAAAAAAGATTGCTGGATTGGTCAGTATTTATTAGATCCTGCTCTTATAGACAGTTACTGATTTCTTGGATTATTTAAATTCTGGTTTTAAATAAAGTATTACTGTCTTTTCCAAACTCTGTTTTCGTCCATATCTCTTCATTGATCTTAATGCAGCATTTTAATGTTTGCATGCTAAATATCTTTTGGTAGCTGATAAATGTTTTGCTTTGACTCTAGCTGTTTTTAAGATGCTACACAACCTTTTTCTTTTTATTTTGTTTGTAGCCTTAGGAATTTTCTTCTCTATTTTGTTGAGAGGAAGGCTTTGCGTATTACCTAGACATTACTTTTCCTGTTGTTAGGTGTCTCATGAAGTAAATGAACATTTTGCTTGTTGATTTATTGTGAATTGGGACTTCAATGTCATTGTTATGTTGCATAGCTTCTGATCATGTGTAATTTTGTTGATGTTCTACACCTGAATTTTCTGTGTGAGGACGTCTAGGGTCTTGATATGGGCCCATTTGGAATTTTGAGGGCTTTTTTATGTTGTCCTGCATTTCACTTCCTGTATATAAAGAAGTTTAGCATGCGTCTAAAATTTTTTTCAATGACTAAACCTTTGATTTATTTTTTATGTTGTCCTGCATTTCAATATAAAGAAGTTTAGCATGCGTCTAAAATTTTTTTCAATGACTAAACCTTTGTTTATTTAAAATTTATTTTTAATTTTTGGTTTTTGTTTTTGTGGATCTAGTTCTACTATTCTTATAGTGGTGTTTGGGATGCTGTTATTAATAACGTTGGTCCATTAAGTATTTTCTCTGCTTTCTCATGATCTTATTACATATGAACAGGTGTCTGACTTCTACAAACGACCAATTGTGGAACTTAGTCCTGGAAAAGTTTCACTGGAAGAAACCTCTCATGTTTCTGAAAATAGAGGTGTTCAGATGCTTGGACAAATAAAGCATGGTTCATGCCGGCCTCGAGCAATATTATTCAAAGTCCTTGCAGATACAGTTGGCATTGAGAGTAGGCTAATGGTGGTAAGTTTTAGCTGTAGAAGGGTTTGCACTTTTATTTGTGCACCTATTATCTATGGGTGATGCCACATAAAAGTCTGAGCAGCATTTTGTCTGTTGGCTTTATTCTCAGCTTCTATAATACTTCCCCTTCTAATGACTTCTGGTCAGAATAATGAATGTATTCCCTAAAGACATTCAGGTCAGAATAATGAATGTATTCCACGTTAATTCCAGAAATGTTAACTTCTTCTTTGACTAATGCCTCAATAAATAGCTGCCTGTGACACCCTGATATTACATCGTAAACTCCACTAAATTTGATATGCCTCCTATTCCTTTAAAAAAAGGATGTCAGACATTTGACTTCATAGTCCAGTGAAAAGGCCCATGGAATGTCAAATTTTCCCTTTTCTATTTGTGTTTCTGCTTTTGAGTCTAAATTTGCTTTTGTACCCCAAATGACAATCAAGGAGATGTCTTTTAATTTTCTTGGTTGCATGTGTATTGACTGCTCGCAAGTGGCAAGGTTAATTTTGGTTTGAGTCTGTAAAGGATTTTCCAAATTCTCTCTGGCATGCTTTTTTGTGTGGTTCCTTTTTCTGATTTGTCTTTATACTTTTACATGTAATTCTCCTCTCAGGGTTTGCCTACTGAAGGAAATTCAGAGTGTGTAGACTCATACAAGCATATGTCTGTTCTAGTGGTTTTGAATTCTGTGGAACTTTTGGTTGATCTTATGCGGTTCCCTGGCCAGCTTATACCCCTATCGACTAAAGCAATTTATATGACTCATATATCTGCTGCTGGGGAAAGTGACTCTGCAGAAAATGATTCCTGCGATTCACCATTAGAGCCAAATAGTCCTCTTTATGGGGTTTCGGATAGAGCTGATCCTGAGAGGTTAGAACCTTTTTTATATTTTCTGTGTAATAACATACATGTTTTCACCTAATTAGTCATCCTTTACCTTGTTCTTTTTAATGAGACATGGAAATGTTTCAAAATTTTTCTTTCCAGCAGAAGAAGTTTTCTAGTTAGAAGCTATCTAGATCAATCCCTTGCTTTCTAGATTCAACAGTGATTGCATAGTTTTATTTGTTACAGTACTGATAAGGATGATTGCCCTCAATACCAGAGGAGACTTGAAGCTTCTTCAAACACTGCTGAGCCTTCTTTGAGGAATGCGATGTTGCGCTCTTCTACTTTTGTTGATAGAAAATTAAGGTACTATTTTAGTCAAGACTGGCATTGCCTTAAACGTGGAATGTTGTATGAAGTACAATTTTGATGCACTGTGGATCTTAGAGACGGATGCTTGTATGCGTAGTTAAATCTTATTCTATTGCTTACATAGCTGGTGTTTATTGGAACTATTTTACTGTATCAGTTCATATCATAGCGAACCTAATATTGCGGCTACCTTTTGGCGAAGGAGCAGGAGAAGGGTCATTGCTGAACAAAGGACTGCTAGTTCAAGGTTCCTCTTGATGCTTTTCTGTTTGTATGATCTTAATATGTTGTTTCAAATCATTCTAGATGTGGGAATGAATTTTTAATCATCTGTCCAAAGGACAACTTTGTCTTTGTTGAGGACACTTAAATATTTGCCACAGAGGTGGTGCCTGTTGCCTCAGGAGCAGATAACCCTGGTGTACAAAATATAAGTTGGGGGAGAAGCAAAGGTCCTAGACTAGGTAGTTAGAGTGACGTAAGCCTGCTTAGTAGGATGACTTAGAAGTTTAAACTGTTCATTGTGTTGAAAATAACATCCTTGACTAAGTCATTATAATTTTAATTATACATCTTGTGTTAATGTGCAAACAATTTGAAAACTTTGATAATTCTAAAATATCAGCTGTAACTGCAAGTGGGCCGACAGTTTTTCTATGGGTAATCATTTGACTGACAGTATTTATTATCTATAAATCTGGCAATATTTGGTATGTAGCAGTTGTTAAGTTCTGATGGCTGCTTGGGCTGCTCTCCCTCTCTCTCTCTCTCTCTCTCTCTCTCTCTCTCTCTTCCCTCTTCTGTTTGCAGTGTGTGGTTTAGCTATCCATGAGACCTTTTAATCTACATCCTTTTAACTCTTTTGCATTTTGTATTTCACAGTCCAGAGCATCCTTCATCTCGTGCTCGTGGGCGCTCTATGCTTAGCGGTGATAACAGAACATTTAGAGATTATTCTGATGATATGGCTACATCAAGGTGCCTGAGAGAAATACACTCTTTTGTCTGGTTTTGGCTTTTGCTTTTCTAATCCTTGTTAATGCACTGAGTAGTAATAAAAAAATGCCACATATGGTGACTTGTAAATATTTTTGATGAATCTAATGCATCTTCTTGTTCTCATTTCAAAAAAAATGCACTGAGTAGTTTGTGGTATAGCATGATTCACATGATTTTACTTATAACTGGAATATCTAATGTACTTACAGAAATTGTTTAATTAGCACACCCTTCCCTATGTTGGTGAGTAAGATAAACCTCACGTTAAACTTTTCTTATCCTGTGATTGATGGTGGGGCACACCATTGTTCAATTACGTACAAGCTAGATGGACATAGGTATACATATGCTGCTCTATCTCTTCTGGCTCACCAGGGCTAGTGTTGAGGAAAATCTATTGAGTGGTGCTACTGACGGTTCAGAGTGTGCTTATGCGGTTAAGTTGGAATTTGCCTTCCATACTTTTGCAGCATGGCTTCCCTCTCTTTATGAGGACTCCATTCTAGGGACAGAGACATAGAAATTAAGGATCTCTAGTGCTTAAGAATGTGATTAACTAGGAGACTCTTAGCACTAAAATTGTGTAGCTAGATGCATCATGAGCTATGGGCTTTTCTGTACAACTGCATTGAGCATATGTTTCAAGTACCATGACATCTGTAATTTGTAAAATGTACATCACAACAGGATTTGCTACAAAGAAAGCTAAAAACATGTGAATTTATGAAACTGGGGTTACTATCAAGTCCAGAATAGCCCCTTTTCTTGTTAGCTTGTTTAGTATCTTTGTTCCTGAGTTATTTTTCCTCTTTTTTGTGTGGGTTGGGGGGGGGGGGACAACAGATTAAGAAAAAAAGTAAAGGATCTCGGATGCATAAATAACTTCTTGAAGACGCCCTGCTAAATTGTCACTTCACTGAGTATTGACTCTGCTATTCTGGTCTGCAGAATTAATGAAGACGAGCAATGAGACAAAATCATTTGAGTACTTTATTTGACTGAAGTCTTATGCAGGGCTATCATCAATCCTATTATCAACTATGCTGAGATTGGTGCAGTCCATTGAGTTATCATTTGATTATCATCTTGGAATTAGTAACCATTTATTTGATTTTGTTTTCTTTTTTTGTTGTGCGCTATAATCAAACTTTACAGATAAGAAGTACCATAACTAGAATCATTCAGCTATTTTCATGGGATGCTTTTTACAAAACTCATACCTTAGGGTGATAGTACAATGAACAATACATATTTTTCTTCTCTTGTTAATCAAATTCTCAATCTTTACTGCTACTGATCTTTGATGCAAATGTAGCAACAGATCCGAAGGTGCCTCAACATCAGAGACTCGTAGATTAAGACGAAGAAGCATCAGTATAACTCCAGAAATTGGTGATGATATTGTAAGGTTGATATCAGCTCTCCTATTTTTATGTATTGTTTGTTTGGTGATATCTTTGTTGTCAATGGCCTCTGTGATAATTTATTTTTAGTATCATCTTATAGTAATCAATTTTTTCCTAAGCTATTTGACGGTCTTCTAGACATAAATTTGTTTCCCTGCGTAAATCCACCTTTTGTCGTATCCCAAATTTGGTGAAAGAATACAGAGATGCAGTGTTAGGGAACTTCAAATGTGAAGCATTTTTCTTTCTAGAACATTGTTAGTCAAGAACTTTATCTCTGGAATTACTTCTACTTTCATTTCACCAGTAGAATCTACTGGAATCCCTCACTTAACTTGATAATTCATACTCAAAGTAAGCTCATCTAATATTAATATGAGATACTATTTGTTGGAGTAGCTTGCTAATGATGTAAGGATTAATTAGGAGTTTTTAGTGCAAGTCTTGAGAGTAGAAGAGGTTGTAGGGGTCAGAGAGTTCTTGAGAATTCCTTCATGAATAATTGCTGGATTTGTTGGTTAATACAATTAACAGGGCTGTGCGCCCTCATGTATCTGTCTTTGAGATCTATGATTCTGCTGTAGTTAAAAGTCTCAATTATTCGAGGGGGAGGAGAGATATATCTTCATGATATTTGACTACTCATTACTTTAAGCTGGCTCCCTATATCTCCTTTGATTTAGCTTTTCAATAGCTTCTGGGAAAAAAAAATGTGATTCTTGATTAAGGTGTTAAAAAGGCATTTTGCCATGGAACTTCTGGAAAGTAAAAGTTGTTCTAGAAGAGATTCAGGGATGCATATAGGAAGAAGCATTTTGGTTTAGAGAAACAAAAGACACAAGCCAAAACAAAATAAGACCAATGAAAAGTAGCTTATTGTATAAAGAGTCAGGAATGTAATCTCAACTAGAAAAAAAGAAATGGGCCTACAAGAGTACACCAGAGGCATGGCAATTTAAATTCTACATTGTCTGCTTTTTAGTTGATGGCTATTTTTTAGCATGTTGACTAGGCACATTAATTGTGGTTGAAATGTACGTGTTAGACTATTTTTGTAGTCATGCTGATTATCATACCTGAACTAGCCATCAAAATTGCTGTATGTTGGAGATCAAGAAATGTTTCACCACTTTGTGGTGGATTTCATGCTACCATGTTACATTTTTGAAGTGCTTAATTGTTGTTGCTTAATGTTATCTGGTAACTTTATTACTCTCTGTTGTATGATTCACGCTAGGGCTGTTCGAGCAATGAATGAAACATTGAAGCAGAATCGCCTCTTAAAAGGACAAGGAGAAAATAGGTCGGATGTCCAGAAAGATGTATGTTCCTTATTTGACCAATCATCTAAATTTATGCATATTCTTCTGCATTTGTAGTCTCTTTGGTTGCAAGTTGAGTAACATTTTTTAGGTACGTGCCTGTTTGAATCTACCTTGTTGTTACTGTGAGCAACTTGACCTTGTCAATGGGCTCAAAAAGATCCCTTTTGTCTTTATGCATTTTTTTTCTGGACTTGCATTTTGACCTGTTTCCGGGCAACTAATACACACATGAGAAAAGATGATCATCTTGCATCAAACAATGCTGGTCCAAAACCAGGAATGGATGGTATTTACATCATGGTTTGTATCAAGTGTCAAATATGAAACTTTCTGTTATGAATTCATTGTTAAAAGTGTGCAATTAGTCTAAGAAATGTTAAAAATAATGGCAGTTTTTATTATTTATTTATTTTTGGGTAATATTTATAGATAAGTTGTTTCCTCCTGCTTTCTGAAGTCTTGACTGATAAAATGAATTATGTACCAGAGATCTGAAAGCCAAATGACATGGAGAATTAATGGAGCTACATCTATCCTGCCTTTCATCAATTTCATGTTTCTCTTAGTGGTTTATCTCTGATAAGTTATTTATTCTTTCTAAGTGGAATTATCCTCCTCAGGTATCTGATTTTTACCTTGGTGACCAGGATGATTTATCTGGTGGAAGATCTTCCATGTATTCTTTTCAGAGAGAGCACAATGATTCTCAAAAGGCAATGTCATTACCTTCTTCTCCTCATGAATATGGGAGTCAAACTCCTGAGAGGAGTGGGACATCAAACTACAGGGTAAATGATGACATGGTGTCAACATGGAACAGAATTCTTGGATCGCCTATGTTCCAGAATAAACCTCTTTTACCTTTTGAAGAGTGGAACATTGACTTCTCAGAACTAACAGTTGGCACTCGTGTTGGAATTGGTAAGCAATTGTCTTGTTAGTTTCCTCTTTGATGTTTATGTCTTCCATAAATTTTCTTTCTCAATCACTTTTGGTAGAGCAAATTCCTTGAAAGGAAGCAATTGTTATCCACAGATCCTCTTGAAAGTTTGGATTCCCATCGGGATAATAGTACTTGGTTGAGAAATTTTTGGGCTTAAATGCATGTTGTTCTCTCAAACTATAATCTCCTAGCATTTTCCTTGAACTGTTGCTTGCATCAAATTGGCCCCTTGAAGCTCTTAGACAAAATGAATTAAGTCCCTGGGCATTCTGTTACTGTGAAAAAATCACTAATGCATTGCTTATCAAAAACGATATTTTCCACATCAAATGCTTTAATTTTCAATGCTTTTTTCCTCCCCAAATACATCTTTATAAGCATGATTTACGTGATACATGATATTCACGAAAATTTGATACCCAATATGAAATAAAGACAGGCACATACACCACATAGCTATTTAAAGTTTGTCTCTTAATTACTCAGTAATTTCCACATGCTTGATTTCATGAAATTCTTGAGAATAAAGTTGTTGCTGCCTACGGTAACTTAATTCTATGGAAGATCTCAAAGGAACGGTTGGCGCAATTGATAGCTCAAAGAGGCCATCTTAAATCATGATGTTTTTCAAAGGGCAAACTACATCTTGCTTGAAACTCTACATTTCAATTTCCTGAAGCTTCTGGGGTTCATTATTGTTAACATCGGAGATGCTTTACATATTGATTTTTCTTCTAATGATTTTCAACAATGAATTATAGAATAAGAAGATGATAATTTTTTTTTTCCCATTTTCATAGAATCAGAGTCTTAAATCATGATGTTTTTCAAAGGGCAAGCTACATCTTGCTCGAAACTCTACATTTCAATTTCCTGAAGCTTCTGGGGCTCATTATTGTTGACATCAGAGGTGCTTTACATATTGATTTCTCTTATAATGATTTTTAACAATGTACTATAGAATAAGATGACAATAATATTTTTTTCATTTTCATGCAAAAGTTATTGCAAACCTCAATGTTCTGTTGTTTATTTTTTCTTTTCCTGTCTTGCATTTCCTACTCTTTTGAATATCTTTTGTCCTTGTGCTTTCGTAGGTTTTTTTGGAGAAGTTTTCCGTGGCATTTGGAACGGAACTGATGTTGCCATCAAAGTTTTTCTGGAGCAAGATCTGACTGCTGAAAACATGGAGGACTTTTGCAATGAGATTTCCATCCTAAGGTGTTCAACTCATTTTTACACTGGCATTTTCTTTTAGTTGTGCTTTTGACTGTTGGTTTAATTTTTAAGATCCCTTCTAATCCTTTGTTATTGCTTTTATTTGGTTTTCTGCAGCCGCCTTCGGCACCCAAATGGTATATCTCTTTGCCTCCTTTTTTCTTTGTGTTCAACTTGTATCAATTTAAACAGTCTCTGTTACTTGTCTATACACTTGATATCAGCTTCAAGTTATCGGGAAGAAATGTAACCCCAAAATTTTTCCTTTTGGGCTGTGGGGATGGGTGTAACACATTCAGTTTGGGGAATACAGACATTCAGTTGCCTTTCAGATACTAATAGACATGCCTTATTTGCAGTTATATTATTTCTGGGTGCCTGCACAAAGCCCCCACATTTATCAATGGTCACCGAATACATGGAGATGGGGTCATTGTATTATCTGATTCATTTAAGTGGTCAGAAGAAAAAACTCAGTTGGCGCAGGAGGCTAAAAATGCTTCGTGACATATGCAGGTTTGTTTTATCCTTGGGCAACATTTCTATTATCTGCTCCAAGTTTTATGGGCAGTAGTTTAATAATTTTCTTTTGTAAGATTGGAACTAGTCTGAAATTTCTGCACCATAAAGGGTTTCATAGGACTTATCAGTTGCAATGCAGAAATCATAAGTTACACTTTTTGAAGTTTGATGGCTTCAGATAGTCTAATTATGGATTTGATTTCTGGGACAAAAATGAGATTGTTGTTGCCAAATTAGCAAACCAGGGTTGCCCATAGTTTTGGCATCCAAACTAACTATGTTGACAACTGTTTCATGCTGGGAAAATGCATTGCAGAACATGGGGTAGGCTAATAGTTGTGAGACCTTGTATTGATCTTTTAATACATAAAATGGGCCACGCACTCTTGTGATTTTTTGTCCCTAATTCTTGTAAGCTCCTTTTTGTCCCCTGTAATGTTGCATGTCCAACCATCTTTTTTGATGTCTGCTTAGCATGTCCAAGTTTGAGTGAGCAAATAAACCAATCTTCATTTAAAATGCATATCACGAAGCGTGCCTTCTGGTTTTATTTCCCTGGTTTTCTTGTTAGAACCTGTTGTTGGGGACTAGAAAATATGAATTAACGCTGTCTCTGTTGTTGGCAACTTAAGAGGGCTGATGTGCATACATCGAATGAAGATTGTCCACCGCGATTTGAAAAGTGCAAATTGCCTTGTCAATAAACACTGGACCGTCAAGATCTGTGATTTTGGGCTATCAAGAATAATGACAGATTCTCCCATGGGGGACTCGTCATCTGCAGGGACACCGGAGTGGATGGCCCCGGAACTTGTTCGCAATGAACCCTTCACCGAGAAATGTGATATCTTCAGCCTTGGTGTTATTATGTGGGAGCTGTGCACTCTAGGTAGACCCTGGGAGGGCATACCACCAGAGAGGGTATGATATAGAATGTCCTTTTAGTTTGTTGATTCTCAATTTTAAATTTTAGTCAGTCTTCTTTTTTTTTTTCAATATTTATCACCCCCGTGTAGGTAATTTGTGCAATAAATATTTTTGACCATTTTTCTCTGCGAGAGACAGTGCACTCACCCTTCTTTTTACAATCTAGGTGGTTTATGCTGTTGCCAATGAGGGATCACGGTTGGAGATTCCTGAAGGACCTCTTGGTAGGCTTATTGCAGGTAACTGGTTATCCACATATTGTCAAACTCGTAACAAGCAACAACCTCAAGCTCATTTGTGCTTGTTGGAGCTCACCTTCTTTCCCTTTCTCCTGGTTGCAGATTGTTGGGCAGAGCCGCATGAACGTCCTAGTTGCGAGGACATTCTTACCCGCTTGCTCGACTGCGAGTATTCATTGTGCTAATGCAATCACTTTAATTGTACAGAAACACATAGTAGAGGTGTTACAATATATTCGGCTCAAGCTCAAGTTGTATTTTGTGTGGATTTTCCAATTTTAGGAAGCTAGTATTTCATTTCATAACCAAATTGAAAAAAAAAAAACATTAAGCACTTTTTGTGCAATTGGAAAATTTTACCGTCATACAAATGAAAAGGAAAAAAAAAGGAGAAAATGGATCTCTTTTATGAGATTGGAGGAGGTCACAGATTGCCTTCATTGTCAAGAGATTGACACTAATGGTTGATGCAGTAGAATTTCATGTACTACATTTCATCGATTTCTGTTGAAATCAATCTCTTAAATGTTACGCATGGTAACTGGATGCATCATATTGCGCGTAGGAAAATAAGTTCCTCATCCCGCGAAGCCTCATCGCATGAATGAATTATATATGATAAAAATTCGAACTGGTTTTCAGTCTTCAAAGCCTAAGTGTACATGTCAAAGATCTAGATCCGGGTTAAATTTTTTTTTTTTTTTTTTTTTAACAGTTACAGATTCACGCTGTACAACATGTTCTATCGTTATTGCGCATAGGTTGCACACCAGCATCTGATCGCTGTGTATCAGTCAGAAATATGGCGTCTGTTCAGAGACGCTTCAAAACGGCTTAAAGAATCTGCTCTCATTTCCGTGCTCATGTCATTCTCTGGTGCCGGGTAATAATCTTCCCTCAGCTGGATGTCCCTGAGATTTGGGAGTCTAAGGAAAAAACTCATGAAATGTTCATGAGCCGTCCCATGGATAAAAAGTTTCCTTAGGGTAAGACACTGATGGAGCAGTCCAGCTGCTGGCAGAGATAAACTCCTCTGGTTAACATCCCTGTCTTGTGGTGGCCAGTAATCAAGTTCATTGAGACTTAAATCCCCTATTCCCATCAGGTAAAATCGTTCCCATTGGCTCAAATCCATCTGCCCAGACGGTGCAGTCTGTGCATAACCTATGGTGTCTCCACAATCCAAATGCATCTTGGTTAAGCGAGGATACTGCACCAGAGTGCTCAACCCAAAGGGGTACTGTGTATGTTTTGACCATTCCCTGCAATCTCCTTCAACCTTGATTTGGATCTCCTCCAGGTTTGGACAATCCTCAAGGCCAGCAGCAGTCAATGGGGTTAGAAGCTCACCCACGCCAATCCAAAGTGAAAGACATTGCAGTCTGTCCCATGAGTTGCTGCAAAATCCATTACCGCTGCTGTTAAATTGCAGGGGAGAGCAATTCAGATCAAAGGAGTGTCTGCACCTCTTCTTCTTGCTGCACATGATTTCACTGTCATAATCTCCAAAGTAGTTGACAGATCCATCCAACTGGTTCGATGCCCCACCCTGATCCAATCCGTTAAGATCAACATCATACTGAATCCCATCAAATTGATCTACACCATCCCAAATGCAGTCAATGTGGAGCCTCCTAATTCGATCCTGCACCGGCTCTAACGCTTTCAATGACGTTGATGCTTTCAGATTCTTACAACAAGAAATCTTGACATCCACCAAAGTCCTTCGAAGCAAACTAGCCAAAGTCCTCATTCCATTCACGGTTATCTTATTACAACCCTGAACTTCAAACTTTGCCAATCTCCAACACCCTCTTCCAATGGCAATCAAACCCATATCAGTCAAGTCCGCAACACTCCTTATTGACAAAGATTCAAGCCCTGAACAAAGCGCAACCCCATCCAACCTTGACTCGATCGGCACAGAGATCCCATGAAACTGCCCTAACTTGAGTGACCTCAGCTTGGGGCATTTCACTTTCAGCATCTCCAAAGCAGGGCCACTCTCTCTCACATTATTACAAACATCTAAAGCCAGTTCTTCGAGCGATGGCAACCCCGAGAACAACTCAATCAGGGCAGCCACAGTGATCTTAGCATCCTCAGGAGTAAGCCCCTCAGACTCAGGATCTGCCCTGGAATTCACCAAAGCCGAGGTATCCGCCAAATGAAGCACGGATAATTTAGGACAATTAGCCGAAATCGAAACCAAGCTCTCATCTCCAACGTATCCAATGTACCTAGGATCAAACATACAAGCCGCGCGAAGTACCTTCAAATTAGGACATGATTTTGTGATGTCCATGATTTCATTAGCCTTGAACCCTTCGGAAAATGAAGGGTTCAGGAGATCAAGGATGGTTAAGTTTGAGGTTTCAACTAGAGCTGCGGGAACATCATCCGTCCAGCAATAAAAGCTGGACAAATCAAGACTAATGATTGATGTGTTCTCCTGAAACAAAGCTAGCAATTCTTCCCCAGATCCCAACGGGGGCCGCTGGTGCCAGCGGACGAGCTTAATATGCTTTAAACGCGGCCATTGAGGAGCCAAGAGCTGTATGGTTGATGGGTTTCTGGCGTAGAGGGTCAGGGAAGTGACTGCAGGGAAAGCTTGGTGGAGAACAAGGGCCATGAGGGTGGCGGTGGTGGTGGGAATGTGGGGGGGTAACAAGGGGTGGCCCCACGGAGAGAGTAAAGAGAGGTCGAGGTCAGTTACGGATCGGAAACAAGTAGGGAGGAAGAAAAGGTCCAGGATCTTGCCCCGGAGAGTGAGGGAAGTGCGGGTGGAGCGCTCTTGAAGAAGCCATTTGCGGCAAACTAAGGCGGCGGCGTTGCGGCTCCGCACGTCGGAGATGGCGGCGATGATATTGGTGAGGATCACGTCCGGAAGGTCGTTGACGGTTGTTTGGCAAGTGGCCATGGAGAAAGGAAACGAAACTTTGAGATGGATTGAAAAGTTGAAAGAGGAGGAGGAGGAGGAGGAGGAGGAAGAGGAAGGTAAAAGTACTACTACTACTACTACTATTAGTTTCTGGCTTTTTTTTATTTATTGTTTATTTTTTTCACTTCTCTTTATTCTAGTCTGGTGTACAGTCCGTAGACTGAATACAAGTGGGCTGGAAAATTAATTTTGTTTCTTGGCAGCTGTAAGCAATGGGTTGGTGGGTGGGTGGGTGGTGGCAGGGGCTGGGATGAATGCCAATGGGAGAATGGCACATTAGGGACATGGAGGGATTTTGTCTACATTTGGGGGAGGTGACCCCATGGCAAATTGAGTGAGTCATGGGGCTCTGCAGAAATTGATCGACTCGCCACAGACATTTGGTTATGGACTTCTATGGGGGGAAGTATCTGAAATCTAACTACGTCGCAAGATCAAATAGTTCATCCTTGTGAAACCATCAATTAGGCAAACAATTTTAGCTCAATTTCCATTCTGCATTTTGCACCATAAAAAATTCTCAATTTTAGCTCTTTAGTAGTACTTTATTTATACTGCCAATTTGTGGCACATTATCTAGATCAATTGAAAATCAACAAACATTGTAGTAGCAATTTTGTGACGAGAAGAGTTTAGTACCTTGTACTCTGGATAATTTCGGTGTACAAAGTTCATTTTGTTGATAAATATTGAAGTGCCACAATTAGTAGTTTTAATTGCAAACCACAAATCCATAATAGCAGTGAAGGGACGCGAATTGCCGTTAGCCCTTGTTCAAATTGACAACTCATGTGAAGCTGCGCATGGAGCCAAAGTAACCTGCTACTGTACCAACGTACGTTTTGCAGGCATTGTGGATTTTTTCAAAGGTTTGAACAGTCCTGGTACATTACATTTGAGATAAGATAATAAAAGGTACATGTCCTTTTGTCCCTCTGGTCACAAAATTCAGCACTTCATAGGTGCTTTTTCTCCTGGGGCTTGTAGAAACAAAAGATGCCTATGTATGACAACTGAGGCTCAAGGATAAGGTTAACAATGAAGTCAAGATGAGACTACCGGGAATCATTCAGCTGCATGGGCCAATACAGTTGATAAGGGCGAACCATTTTTTGGTAACAAAATTGTGTATTCAAATTTAATCTTGCTGTGGATGTGAATACTACATTGATGAGTAGTCAAGTGATTTATGGTTCCGAAACAATGCCCTGACATGCTGCTTTCGCTGCTGATGTGAGCACTGTATTAACGAGCAACTTGTATAAATTCCTGTGTACACATCTATGATTTCAAGAATATGTCCTGACCTGTGTTAGTAATCGAAGTCAAATCCATTAAAACTTTTCTTCTTCTTTTTTTTTTAGAACTATATTAATGGGCGATATGTAAAAACTTATGAAGCAAGCCCTGATCTATAATTGTGATCGGATCTAAGTCCACTCGAATTTTTTCTACCAAAAGAAAAATGATTTAATCTATAAGGAGGTGCAACTTTTTTTTTTATGGGTGATTTGTTAAAGTCTCTGTAAGCAACTTATGATCTTGAGAGCATACCCTGACCTATGATTGTGACCGGAGTTGAATCCACTTGAACTATTTTCTACTGAAAGAAAAAAAAATTAGCTATGAGGAGATGCAACTTTTTTTCCCTCGGTAAGTGAGAGGTATTGAATCCAAAACTTTCTAGTTATAATCCCTCTCACATTACTATTCAACTTAACCCTCTCCCTACTTTTATACTTTGTAAGCGGAAAAATTTGGATCCAAAACCTCCGACTTTGTTAATATTTTTTCTTTGTATGGAGATGCAACTATGATAGAAGTTCAGAACAATTAATTTTCAATTAAAATACTACTCCTTCCATCCTAATTATTTAGTCATGTTCGGGGAATCCAACTTTTTAACGATAATGGTTTGATTGTGATGTTTGCGTTTCTCTTTTCAAATTTACTTCCACAAATTCAAATTTTAAATTTAAATGGTAACATGCATATGATTAGAAAGAAGGGTTATATTGAAAAGAGTTTCAACATGACAAATATTTTGGAACATTCTAAAATGGAAAGTATGACAATTTTAATAGGGCGAAAGAAATAGTAGTTTTTAAGGGTTAAATTTCCTAAAAATTCTTTCTGTCTAATTTGTCCAATGGAAGATTCATTTCATTTAGCCTTCACTCAAAGTTATAAATTAGTGTCCCCTTAGATCCCCTTTTTCTTTCACTTGTTTCGTTCAGATTTTTCCCCCCATCTTGGAAAAAACAAAAAAAACAAAAAGGTGATGGGACAAAGTTTTTGAAGCTGAAATATTCTTTTTCTTATCTTTTTCCAAATGTGGAGCAGCATATTGATTGCACTATCATGTATCTTTACATCTGCATGGACTACATTTTCAATCATTATACACCACTGGAACTTCATTCCTCTCCCACATCCATAGTTTTTAGTTCCTTTCTTTTTCATTTTGTTTTATTTTTATTTTTTTTCTTTGAGGAAAAGTTTTGCTCCTGCCTATTTTCCTTTTTCTTGATTTGTTTTTTTTTTTTTTTTTACTGATTTGGGTGAAGAATGATTGAATGGGTGCTAGTGCAAATAAAGGAAGCACTCATTTATTTTCCTTCGTTCAGAGGAGCACGAAGAGCACGTGATGCTCATGTGGTTTTGGTAGAAAAACCAATCATGTTTTCATCGGTGCATGAAGGGCACGGGATGATCGTGGCACTCCCCTATTAATTAGGTCTACCAGGTTGGAAACTCAGGGGACACAATGTCAGGAAATCCCTTTGTTGTAGTAATCTGCTCAGGATATTCCACTTTTTTTTTTTTTTTAAAAAAAAGATAATACCAAACCCAAAATGGTGTCATGATACCAAAATGAACAACAAATTAATTCATGAATGGTGGGGGAATAGTAGTAAAAAGATTTCACATTTATTCAAGCTATTTCTTTATTTATATATATATATATATGTATACACCTTTCACCCTTGAATCTGATAACGGAAAAGATTCGAAGAGTCCTGCCTCTCTTGGCCACTAAAATTTATTTATTATCTTAAATCCACCGATTGGGATTTACCCTAGAATTGTTGAACTCTTTATTTTGCTTTCTTTTCCTGCTTAATTGCATGTGCTAAAACTAAAATTCAAAAAAATAAATTGCAAGTGCTTCAATAAAACAAGAATCTGCTCAATATAAGCAATTAAACTAAGCCTAAGGGGTTGGGAGTGATAATATGATTTTTAAAAACAAAAATAAATCCACCAAACTGAGGCGCTGTGCTACATTGGACAGTTTTTCCACCAAATGATTCAAGAATTGTCTTTTGAAGATTCAGGTTTTAAAACCAGGTGGATTAGCCCAATCAGCTTGGGGTCACCCTTCAGTGCTCACATAAATATTACTCCACTATGAGTAGTTATTCCCATCATCAGTGACGGAGCCAGGATTTTTGTTTTGGGGGGGCCAAAATTTTTTCCTAATAAAATTATCTTAATATATTATGTTCAAAATAATTTTCTTTTATTTAAATATATGACATCTAAAAATATCAAATATTAAATTTAATTATAAAGGTATGTCTATTCATAAATATGCGGTATAGTCATAACAAAAATTAACAAAAAAGATAACTTTTGATTAAATATTTTATAACATCACAAACCATTCAATTTGCACATTATGAGACGATGCTCTCCAATATGTCACCTAGGCAATATATATATATATATATATAACCATGTAATATCAATGTAACTATTTTCAATTGAAAAAAGATAAAACTTATGTTAACATAATTTGAAATTTCAACATCTTTTCTTAGAAGTAAATTGAGCTCTAAGCTCTTTCATAGAATTAAATTCATCTATACTTGAATCACTGCTAAATTTTTTAGCAACTTCCTTTTCTATATACACAGTTAGACAATTATTCAAAAAATTATCTTCCATCTTGTTTCGGAGCTTTGTTTTGATTATTTTCATAATTGAAAATACCTGCTTTGTAGTTGCAATTGATACAAGAAGAGTAAAAATAAGTCTAATCAATCTGTCAATAAGAGAATATATCACTGATTTTCTTGTCTTAACCAAGCCTTGACATAACTCATGAATACCAGATAATTCTTACAATTCAGGATGATTTGGAATGTCGAGCTCAAAATGTTGAAGTTCTATTTTTAGACGTACTAGTTCTTGCTTTTAACAATTATGAATTGGGTCTTTTTATTCTAATACATCACATTGGGTCAATTTACTATGGAACATCAAATTATATGTTTAATTTTTGAAAGTTAAATAATTAGTAAAATAAAAAATAAATAACTTTTTTTTGAAGAAAAAATTAATTCAAAGATGACTAATTCATATATATATACATATATATATATCAACTCTCATAATATAAACTAAAATTATAAAAATTTAGGTGGGGTCAATTTTACTTTACACACATATTTACATATTATGAATTAAAATTTTCAAAACTTAGGGGGGGGCCATGGCCCCCCTCTGTCCCCCCTTGGCTCCATCATTGCCCATCATCCGAATGTAATTTTTTGTACTTATCTCACCATTTTAAGTTTCCATTGCACACACTATATATAATCTTATAAACCAAAAAAAAGGACCGATACTTCAAAAAATTTAGGATTTGCCAACTTCTTGTAAAACTTGAATTCCAACTTTGGAGAATCCAGGAGCAAATTGGATGGAGGCGTTTGTGCCTTTTTTGTTCCTGCTGTAACTTGTACACTCTCGAGTGCTATTAGTAGATGAAGTAGTGAACCCGCATGCAATTGCCCCATTAACTACAGTTATTTGCTTCTTTAGAATATAGGATAAGGTCCTCAATCAATTCTGCCTCTACCTGTGGCATCATTTTGTCACAAGATATACTCTTCAAATTGCATTTCTGTTAAACAAGAACAGAATTAACTTCCAGCATCTATTCTAAAGTATTTCGATAGTTTGTCGAAACATTCTCTTCTTTAGATGTGCAGCTTTCTGAGGATATGGTATAGCGTTTGGCTTTATTTATATCTGATGCATGTAGAATCACTCTTTACCCTTTTTTTTTTATTTTTTATTTTTACGTGTAGATTAGAGTAAATATACCGTGCATGCATCTTCCAATTGTCAAATCTTTCACGTTCTAAAAGT